CAAAACTCCTTGATAATCAATTTCCCCCCCACCCGCACGCTCATTCGCCAACTCCTCTGAAAATTCCCATTTATCCCACCCAATCCCCATTCACCACCTGCACCTCGCATCGCATCTCACATCTGGACTTACATACACAAATCATGGCAACCACAATAGCTCCACCGTCCTCGTTCCGACCCCCATGGGCCGGCCTTCCCCCGCCCGCACCGTTCCCCCGTCCTCGCGCGGACCCGTGCAATCCCGTCTTGAGATGCGGCCGCGGAAACGGCCACATATATCCCATCCAGACAAACCCAAGTATATATATACAACGCATGCATGCGTTCGCGAGGCGGAGGGCATCTGGAAGCGACTCTCATCCGTCCGGCCCGACGCAGCGGATCCCTCGTCCTGCCAGCCATGGGGAGCGGGGTGAGAAGGTGACGCGGACAACGGTGAGGAATCCTAATCGGACTCCGAGAGCTATTACTGTGTTATAATAGGGTGAGAGCAGCGGGGCGAGGTGAGGCGTTCACACAGCTGTCAGGTGTGAGATGCCAAGGGGTGTACAAAATCAAGGCGTACGGCACGAGTATACTCCGTACTATGTGACAATTCCAAGGAGAGACGCAGTGGAAAGAGAAAACGGAATCAATTATTTTCAACGAAGTTAAATCTCGCTAACTTGGGAAAAATGAGGAGCGAAATCCCGCCGAGCTCAGAGGTTCTCCTTCCAGAGAGAAAAGGATAAGAATGATAAGTAGTAAAACGTGTAAAAAAGATGTAAGAGTAAGAATAAAGGGGAAAAGTGATCCTGAATAGAAGAAGTAGAAAATAGTTTTAGTGTACTCCCAAGAGAGCCAAATCCATGACCCTCAACCGTCCCCACCCTTTCATTTCCTTTCCCTATCGCGCCCACCAATGGCGCCAAAACATCCTCATGCCGCCCCACCCATCGTCTGATGTTCTTGTAGTAGTCGAGAGAGAGATAGAGAGAAGGAGGGGGGAGAGAGAGAGAGAGGAGAAAGAGTCAAGGAAATACAATTCACCAATGCCAGGGAAAGTGTCGATGAGTCTAAAGCGGCGGGGACCGGATGCAGCCCCGGCGGAGACAAGGAAAAAGTCGGATATTCCAGCAGCAAAAGAAACAATGTCGTGCACAACGTGCAAGCGGATAGCCGTGTTCAACACCGAGTTCCCAAAACAAAGCGTGCGATGTGATCCTAGAGAGTCGGAGAATGGTAAGGGGTGGTCCAATGGACCATGGCCGGCCCAAGGCGAGAAGTTAAATCTGGAAGTATGGTGTTAAAGGTATCACGGCTCCCACTTTTGATTCGGGAATCGTCGAAATGATGCGTGCGACATGTAGTAGACACGCGGATTCCAAATATGGTCATGCATCTTGTTCATTCCCATCCGGCACTGGGGATAGCTTCCCACTGCCCTACATGACCAGGCATCCGCAGCAGCCCTTCTTCTCGCTCTCCTCTTCGACGCCCATCTTGGAGATGCCGTTTGTTGCTCCACCGGTGGCTGCTCCTGTATACGAAGACATCTCCTTGTTATATCTGCGGATTTCGCGAACAATGTCGTAAAAAGCGTTGTCGACGTTGATGCGCGACTTGGCGGACGTCTCGATGAACTTGCAACCAAACTGTCGTGCCAGCGTCTGGCCCTCTATTGGCAGAATCGGTTAGCATGGCGGAAGCGAGATTGGGACGTGCGACGCACCTTGTGTTGACACCTGCCTCTCTCCCTCGAGATCACACTTGTTGCCGACGACAATCATGGGGAAGTAGTCCTTGTCCTTGACACGGAGGATTTGTTGCTGGAAGGTCATGATCTCCTCGAAACTCTGACGGTCCGTTATCGAGTAGACGAGCAGGAAGCCCTCGCCGGTGCGCATGTACTGCTCCCGCATGGCGGAGTACTCCTCCTGGCCTGCAGTATCGAGAACATCGAGCAGGGCGACCTCGTCGTCGATAACGCACTGCTTGCGGTACGAATCTGCATCCCTGGGGTCAGAACCGAGCTCACAGGTGGCGACAGATGCGGAAGCGACAGGGTAGAACTCACCCTCAATTGTGGGATCGTATTCATCGACGAAATGGCTTTGGATCAGCTGGATGGTTAGACATGACTTGCCCACTCCACCACCTCCGACGACGACTAGCTTGTATTCTCGGAGAAACTGCGGCACGGGTGAGTAACATGGAGGTGGAGGAGGAGCGGGAGCGGCAGCTGTATGGGGTTGAAAGACGCACCTTGGATGCCATTCTGAGTGTGAGGGAGCAATCAGCGAGTGTGAGGAAATGTTTAAAAGGGCGAGCGCGATGGGAGGCGCGCTCAGGAGCCGAGCTCTGCTACGGCCAAAGGAGAGGGCGGGAGACGGGGCTGGTGGGAGAGGGTCGGTGCGGTCCTAGACGGACTGCTAGAGGCGGGGAGAAGAGGAAGCCGCAGCGCGAGGCAGCGCGACGACAGCGGAAGCTCGCGGAAGACGGGTATATGGCGATTGTGTGGCTCGAGGGAGGATCACAGCGACGTATGGGGTGGTGATGATGTGGTGTGGTGGAGGTGTGCGAGGATGCGAGGGTGAAGAGGGAGGTTTAGCACTTTTGGTTAGTTCAAGTTAGTCTGGCTGAGGGCCCCGGGCCAGCCATGGGCTGTTGCTGCTGGGCAAAGACAGGTTCGCGCGGTCAGCTCGCAGCGAAAAGGAACAACGTTTGGCTTGTCTGGGAGGGTTGGCAACCTGTTGGGGGCCCTGGCAAACCTCACTTGTCTCGCTGCTGATTCGCACAGTTGCATTCACGAGGCTGGAGGCGCTGTGCAGAGAGCGGCCTCTGCCCGCGCCGTGCAGCGAAAAATGGACTCTCCCCGGTCCCCCCGCGAAGCAGCCTTGCACCCTCAACACAGTACAAACACTATCTACCACGAAGCCACAGAGGGTGATAATAATCCAGCAAAAAATAGCAGCGGCCGCCAAAAGAGTAGCCCTCAAAACCCAACTTCGAAAATGCCCATATGTATGTAATTTGTATGCACCAGGGCGGGTCTCTTCCTGTTGGTATCTGCATCCCTCCTTCCAAAAACGACAACAAAAACAACACCACCACCACCAGAGCGTCGCCGACCTACCATCACGACAGAGATTCCTTTCCTCTTGTTCCCATTACTGACGCCGCAGCGGTCGCACTGCAGGCGGCGCCTCCTGCATAGATTGTCTGCCACTCTCTGTTGTCTCTCCTGTCTCGGCTGTCTGCTGTCTCTTCGCGCCCAGCCGCGGCATTGGCAATTCACATGACTGCTCCCTTCTGCGGGCGCCAAAGTGCAACCAAGCGGAAGCCCGAATGCCTGGCTACCACAGACACTCCCGTTCCACTCTTCAACAGCCTTCGCACCACTGCACACCCTCTTCCGCTCTCTTGATGTCTTCACAGCTGGGTCCGGCGCCTCGACGACGTTCCAAGGTTGCATCTGGCCCAATGCTGGCCCATTGGTCTTGCTGCTACCCGCTCTGCAGCTGCACCGACGGCCACTGGATGCCACGCGAGGCCTGACACGCGAGAACACGCAGCTGTGCCTCGACGCGCCCTCCTCCGGTAGATGAACACTTTCACCTGCATCGTCACCACAATCACCCCATTATCGCCGTGATAAATATTGGCTCGGCGCCCGATTTGGAGCATGCAGAAACCCCTCTGAAAATCAGCTAGCTCTGCAGCACACATACGAACCACAAACCCTACCTACGTAAGCCGACAGGATTGGTCTCTGTGCAAGTTGCGCTGAGTATGAGCATCGACTGTATCCTACTTCCCGGATGCTATGGCTTCTAATGCTTGCATGCCGTCATTCCAATCGACAAACACCTAGAGGATATCACCTTGCCCCTTAACCCGACTTCAGCGTGCCAGACTCTCGATTCGCTTCCTCCTCTTCCAATGCGTCGTCCTCACCTTCGACCTGCACCCTTCTCCCCTGCACGGCCTTCTCCACCTCCGGAACCAACGACTCCATGTACTCGACGTCCCTCCCAACCAGAGTCACGGTGTTGCGAGGCTTCCCCCATCTAGGATAGCTTCCAATCTTGACCCCCTTGGTCTCGGCTCGTTTTGCTAGCTCCGTGAGATATCCCGCAATGGCACTCTCAGCCATGGGCGTCGACACCAGTATACGATATGAGCCCTTGCCATTGGGGTCCGCCAGCCGGGGGACAAGGCGAGGCTTCAGTCCTTCTAGCAGAGCCTCGAATAAACTCGGCACTCCCGGTAGTATGTGAACGTTGCCGTTCACAATACTTATCGGCACCCAGAGCTTCTCGTCTACGAAGACAGCCTGCTCGCTATATGGCTTCGAGTCATCCAGCGGCAGCTCAGCCATGCGTCTCTTCGCCGTGAGTGCCGGAGACGGTGTATCCCAGTCAAAGTCCAGTTGCGACTTGTGCGGCTTCGACAGCCTCCTCATGCGTGCCCATGTCTCCTCGTGCAGTTTGATCGGTAGCCCAAACGCCTTGGCTATCGACTGGTACGTGATATCGTCGTGTCTGTCCTCGGCCTCCGGGTCAGCAACGGCGTCGCACAGCAGGAGGAAGGACGTAGCGCTCACGTAGGACCGATGCCTCCGGATGTCACCACGAAGTCGTAGTTGTTGGACATGCGGCGGGCAGCTTCGACGATTTCGTCTTCATCGTCAGCAATGACTTCGATACGCCGGAGGTTTATTCCGAGGTTGAAACAGAACTTGGCGAAGTAGGCCTATTTACATTCTCAGCTGGGTACAAGTCGTCGGAGTTAGGGACAGGAACTTACCGAATTCGTATCTATTGTCTAAGCAGCGAGCTATGAGTTAGCGGCAATATATGAGGAGGGTACACGAATACGCATACCTTGCCTCCCAAAACCTCATCTCCGATAATTAGACAAGCAGCCGTATGTATCTTCCCGTTGTTCCCCTGCACAGGCGTTGCGCCCGCCATGATTGATGACGTGAGGATGGGTTGGAACCGCGAACCGGACGCCGAAGCAGGAGAAGCAATCTGGGCCAGCGACCGTGAAAGATGCCGAGATACCTGGCCCAAGCGACTAAACATGAAAAGGAATGAATGAGGATATGCAGTGAAGAGAGGTTTGTTGCCTTCGTCGGCCACCCTTGCGCCATCTATGTTCCCAAGGTCCCGACAACAACCTAGGCCCGGGGTTGCCCCGCTCCGCACCTCTCCCGCCCCTCGTCATCGGATCGACTCGGCGCTATCAACACCTCAGCCCTATTGAGATATCCTCTACTCAGCTTGTGGAGTTTCAGCACTTTTATAGACATGGTGTGTCTTACACCTTTCATATTCGCAACCTCCGCTAACGTACACCCTCAGTCTTCAGAAGCGCGGTTATACACCTTCAGCGACGAGACGAAACAGAAGCTCCGCAAGTTCCGCCTGGGGACCTCCCGGGCCAAAGACCCTCAAGCTGTCATTTGTACGCCTCCTTGACTTTCCCGCGCCGAGCCGCCTTTCCCACCGCACACCTTTAGATATTTGGATCTATACATATGAGGAGCTGCTTAGAGCTATAACGAGACATTGGAAACAAGGCTGATGCCTATCCACACCAGATCAAATCGACAAAAAGACCCTGGAAATACTACCAGACGACGACACCGTGTACACCAATCTGCAGGATATCGCGGATGAGCTGCCGGACCATGCGCCGCGATTCGTGCTGCTGAGCTACCCGTTGACGCTGGTATGCTTCTTCCCAGCATCTCTAGCTTCCGATATATCAGCAAGAGTGCATATGCTGAACTGGAATAGGACTCCGGCAGACTATCAGTCCCATACGTCATGCTCTACTACCTTCCCGTGACGTGCAACAACGAAGTCAAGATGCTGTATGCGGGTGCGAAGGAGCTGATGCGGAATACGGCCGAGGTGAACAGGATCATTGAGATTGATTCGCCGGACCACTTGGATGATATCGAAGCGAAGCTAAAGGAGTGATGGGCGTGGAATTGCCTATGCTGGGCGTGTTTTTCACCTTTCAAGTGCCTATCCTGTAGAGGAGACGATGTTGCTGCTCTAAGCGTCAGGTACTTGGTCGCACTCGCACGAAAAGCATCGTGAAGCTATACGATCCTCCGAGCACCTTGACAAGTCATCCACTGCTGCATCTCCTCCTCCCTCGTTTACACACCCCCACCGTGTTTGCTGACTCCGTCTTCCCTCCAAATATCCCATCAGCACCACACCCAGCTCACGCTCCATCTCGGTTCACCTCCTTTACATCTTACGTTAGCCTATCTACCGCCCATCTGGCATCTTACCATCGGTACTACAAGTAATGTATGTGTGAATCGATTCTCCAGCCCCAGGTAGGTAGACAAGCCGGCTCGCGTACTTCACGCACTCCGATAAATCCTTCCCAGCTAACCCCGTCGATCCCATCTTATCGCCTCGCGGTGCTGACAACCTGTGCGCCTCGCGAGGCTGTACTCCCTAGTCTACCTTGAGCAATAAAGTCTAACGTTGGGATTCAAAGGAATCGATATGCACCGCTCACGTACAGTACCGCTGCATGCATGCATCCTTTCTTGCTTTCTTGCTTAAACTGGTCCGCTCACAAGGGGTGTCGTTGCAGTTCAAGGGAATGGACGCCGTGCAGGACCTACACACATGTACTAGCTTTTGCATTTGATGGGTATACCGACGTTGCTGCTTCGAATTGTAATTATCTAGTTTGCCGTCAATTGTTTCTCTCCCAGAAATCCGAGGTTTGCCTTGTTTGCCGAGTTGATTGGTGAAGTGGTAAGCGTTAGGATGAGGTGTTGGGGTGATTGTCCGGATGTGGGTCTGTCCTGCAGACGAGAATGTGGTGCTGGTTTGAAGATGCCCTTTTTCTGATTACATACTGTGTATATTTCGCGTCCTTCAACGATGCGGACAGCGAGGCCGTACAAATCTCTACTCTTCTGAGCCCGAACGTGCAGCTCGAATGAGCGTACTTCCTTACAGGTGTTATTTTAATCTGGTTGATCGGACTTGCTTCAACCGTATTGTTGGGTGTTTAGTGCTTACACTGCAATACGGATAACTTTGGTTCATGGAAATGGCTTTATTGATTTGCAAACCCAGCAAGTCCGCTGTATCGCGCCCTTAATCTGCAAACTGCATCCGTTGGTGCTATAATCGGATCGTAAGTCCTTAACCCCCGTGGGTATGACGTGCAGCGGGCGAGCGCAAGGTACATTTTCTAGACCCGGCAGTAGGTATATTGCTTCCCCATTTCGCAGTGTTGGGTGTTCCGGATCGCTGGAAGAAACCCGGGTGCAGGACTGGCAACGAGAAGAGTGTTGTTGGGAACGACTCAGCCGATGATTATTATGACGAATGATGTAGACATGAAACAAAAATCCCAACCGTTCCATGCAAATACTGTAACTAGAGAGAGCCGCCCATCCTATCCCATAGTGATGATGCCGTCGTGTTCATGTGTCGTCATTCTGGTCATCGTAGTAGTACCGCCCTCCATAAGGTGGGGTTCAGAACACTCAGATTCCACCACCTAGAAAAAGCTAGTCAACAGGAATTCTCCCCTTCATGGATTTAAACATCGCATCTTCGAAGAGAGGCGCAAGAGAGGTACACGGTAAACATACCCGATCGATCCACCGAAACGCTGAAGTCCCCCGCTGGTCTTTCCTTCTGCTTCGCGGGGACGAGGCGGGATCGGAGGAGCAGGTAGCTACCTCCCAGAGAGGCGAAGGCTGCTATGGCGAGGTTGCGAGAACTGGGGTTTCTCATTTAGTAGAGTTTCCTACTATAGTAGGTTGAAAGCAGAGGGGGGTGGTTGATATCGTCTTGGCGTCATCGCCACAGCTGCATCACGGTGGTGATTAAAAAGAAATCAGGGAGCGTACCCGAAGAGTTTGGTGTAGCTCATCTTTGTGTGTCAGCAGATTGTCTCGAATGCTGTGAGAGTTGTAAGTGGGAAACCGGGGGATATTTGTGTTGTAAGAAGAGTAGAGATTCAAGGGAGGAAGGGAGAGGAAGCTCAGCAATTGCTAGCTTTGAGCTCACACGACACTTTCCCGATTTGAGCTGCTGGTTCCTGGCGGGACCCGAGGTTGAGGTTTCCCTTGCTCGCTTATCGGGGGAATCTGGCGGGGGCTCTTATCGATAATGTGGGTATGCATAATGAATCTTAAGTGAAGTTTCGCAAGAGTGAATGCTATGCAGTGAAGTACGGCGTTACTGAGAGTTTTCAATTCCTAACTTTCAAGGCGCTGGAGTGATTAAAAAAGTTCTGCAGTGTCTCTTGGAGGACAACGAGTTGTCGCTCTTCTACTTTGATATAAGAGCACGCTGCGATGTTAAAAAGTCTAGGAGGGTGCGCAACTACCTAATAAGCTGGAGGTGTTTAGGAAATATACATTAAATGCAGTTTACTCTACGGAGTAGAACATCTAGTCTACAGGTTGGGTATACAGTATTGGAACACGGATGAAGTCAGTCTTGGCAAGCTAGCCACACCGCTGTGGCAGAAAAAAGTATCAGATCGTCCAGAGCTATAGTGGATGCAAGCCCCATCGCGCACCACTCCCGCAGCGCCCACATTTCCGTTTCCCTCCAATACACCTCCCTAAAATTCTCCCAAATGCCTCTTCCAAAACGGCCCGTCCTCCCAAGCAAATCCCAATCACAACCACAATCGCAATCCGCCGCCAAGAAGAAAAGTTCCATCGAAGATGCGCGCTTCGCGAACTTCAAGACCGATCCCAAGTTCCGGCTTCCCTCGAAGAAGCGCTCCAAGACGCAGCTGGACGAGCGGTTCTCGAGACTCCTGACTGATCCGGACTTTCATACGAGGGCGAGCGTGGATCGGTACGGGAGGAAGATTGGGAAGGGGAGGGGGAAGGAGGAGTTGAGGCGGATGTATGAGGTTGAGAATGTTGAGGGTGAGGAGTCGAATGAAGAAGGGGATGAGGATGAGGAGGAGGGGTTGAATTTGGAGACTGAGAGCGCGAAGAAGATGGATAGAGCTGTGGAGAGGGAGATGAAGAAGGTGGCTATAAGAGGTCAGAAAGGGAGGGATATCATTCGCGAGGGCGCCGAGTCGTCTTCGTCGGACGAGAGCTCGAGCGATGAAGAGGAAGAGGTGGAAGAGGAGGTCGAGGAGCGGACCGAGTTGGCGCAGCCCGGCGCAGAGGTTCCGATGGGAGAGGTCACGACGCGTCTAGCTGCGGTTAACATGGATTGGGATAACATAAGAGCGTCGGATATCATGGCGGTGGCGAACTCGTTTGTGCCTGCTGGCGGACGCATACTCAGCGTGGTCATCTACCCGAGTGAGTTTGGCATGGAGAGGCTGCAGAGGGAGGAGATTGAAGGGCCGCCGAGAGAAATCTTTGCGGCGTCCTCAGCCAAGAATAAGAATAATATTACTTCCTTGGATGCGGATGGCGCAGAGGATGAAAAGGATGCAAACAGCGATTTGGAGAACGGGGAGGAGTTTGACTCGAAGGCTCTGCGCGCATACCAGCTTGACCGCCTACGGTACTACTACGCTGTTATCACCTGCTCCTCTCTGGAGACCGCCAAGTCCATCTACGATAACATGGATGGCAGAGAGTACCTGTCAAGCGCCAACTTCTTCGACTTGCGATTCGTCCCTGACGGTACGACGTTCGACGAAGATCCCCACGATGAGTGCGAAGCGTTGCCAGATGGGTACAAACCGAACGAATTCCGGACGGACGCTCTTACGCATTCAAAGGTCAAACTGACGTGGGATGCGGAAGACACTACTAGAAAAGAAGTGCAGAAGCGCGCCTTCTCGAGAAAGGAAATAGACGAGAACGAATTGCAGGCCTACATTGGATCAGAGTCAGAGTCAGAGGAGGAACAAGCGAATCCCGAGAAGGTCGCCGCTATGAGAGCCGCACTTGGCTTGGACTCATCCGAAGGTACCAAGAAGTCACGGTCTGATAAACGAGATCGCGATTTCCAGAAGCCGGAGGGTGATTTGGAGATTACATTCTCGGCGGGTCTGTCGTCGAATGCACCTAAGGGACCCGTGATTGAGATAGAGGAGACGACGATAGAGAAGTATGTGCGGAAGCAGAGGGAACGAAAACAAAGGCGCAAGGAGAGAGCGAAGGCATTGGCAGAAGGCAGAGATCCTGATGCCAAACCGGAACAGGAGCCTCAGAAGACAGTGGCGGATGAGGACGACCCTTGGAACGATCCTTTCTTCGCCGATGGGCCCAATAGCGCCAAGGAGGCTAAAGAATTGAAGAAGGCTAAGAAGGCTAAGAAACGGGAAGAGCAAGAGAAGGAAGAGAAGGACAAGGCGGCTCAGCGTGCAAACCTAGAGCTACTCATGATGGGCGACGAGGACGAAGAGATGCGCCACTTCGACATCAACGAAATCATGAAAGCAGAAAAGGCGAAGAAGAAGAAGGGAAAGAAGAAGACGAAGGGGGAGGCCGCCCCCGTAGAAGACAACTTCAAGGTCGATACCCAAGATCCGCGTTTTGCAGAGCTGTATGAGAATCCTGACTTTGCTATTGATCCTACACATCCGAGATTCAAGGCCACGCCTGGTATGAATGCGTTGTTGGAAGAGGCCAGGAAGAAGAGGAAACACGATAGGGATGATGAACCGCAGAGAGAGGAGCAGAAGAAGCGGAAGGTTACGGATCAGGAGCCGGGAGGCACGGAGGACTTGAAGAAGTTGGCGGCGAGGGTTAAGGCGAAGAGCAAGTTGGGTTGATTGTCGATTATACCATGTTGGTTGCATATGGCGGCACTTTTTGGAAATGATATCCTGCGTTTCGATGAAAGACTTCTCCTGAGTGAACTTGAAGCTATCCTTGTTCACGATGTGGACTGTTCTGTTCGCTGTACTCTGGCTCGAAGACCTGTCCGAGTATGTCATTGTTCACTCATATTAAATGCCCATATTGGGCCGCGCACAATCTGTATCAAAGACCAGTCCTTCAGAACACTTCACTGTTCCCTGGTCACCAGCCTATATATGATATAGTATAGAGGCAAACTAATGCGCCTAGCCGTTCGGATACCGCAAAACCTCGATCTGCTAGATACTGTCAGGTGGTCAGACTAGGTGAAACCGTGTTTATCCTTAAATATGCCCACCGAGCAACGGCTAGCAGCAGGTCCGAATCATCGATGCTAGAGACGCTTCTCAGAAACAATGGCCGAGTGCATGGTTCGCCAAAACCTAGGACGATGTATCCAAGTCTGATTTGGGCAGTTTTCGTCGTCGGATGGGTAGTCACCAACGCGATTTCAAGGGAACAGCACATACTCCATCAATGTCAGCGTTTCTACTGTATAAGTGCTTCGGATTGGATGCAAAGGTGTTATTATAGAGGTTGAACCCTAGGCTGGTCGCTATAGAGCATCCACGTGTAACCCGACGGGGAGTTTACCAACTGAGACGGACTACAACTATATTACCTCCAGTTGCATCAACGGAATACACAATACCACAAACACGAATTCAAGCTCATTCAAATTCAAAAGATAGAGTGAATTTGATATCAGGTTTCTACCCTCATCCCAACGTCCAAACAGATTGTGCGCATCCATTCACCATGTCTCAAGACGCAAGACTCAGAGCAGCTCTTCAATCACGACGGTAATATCTCCAAAAGTGCTCTCCTCTAACCTCGCACAGGCTTGAACTTCAGCAAAACATACCACAACGACATTCACCCTTGATCAACCACTCCCAATCCGACATCGCTGGCAAACACGTCCTCATAACCGAACGCCTCCCACGGCGTCAGCAAAGCCATGAAACTCACTACGCCAAAACCGTGCCTCCACAAGATATTACAGGTCACTCATCCTTAGACAGCATTCAAAGACATCAAGGACGCGCCCTCTATCTCACGGCTAGAGATTTTCTTCCCTCTGCTGCTCAAAGTCTGATGTCGGAGTCATTAGCTTTAAGTCCTCCGTCAAAGTGCATGGCTACGGCATCGCGCCACTCTCGTATGTTGTGGTAAAATCTGCGTTGCTCCGCTTCGGAAATTTATCGATCAGCAGCAGCATGGTCGGGGACGGAGGACGAGGTGATTGTGAATGGGGCGGATATGTTCGTGCCGCCGTGGATGAGAGGAGTGAGTGGTTGAGCAGAGATATCTTAGTGCGAATATTGATACGGCGAAGTTGGAAGGGAGGAAGCGGGCGTATTGCGGGCAATCTGTTGAGAGTGACATTGGGTGAGTTTACTTCGGGGCAGTGAGGGAAAGGAGGGATTACTGGGCGAGTTGGTAGTAGCTCCTTCATTATATGAAGGATAGACGAAGATTTCTGTGACGATTTCTACAAGAAATTTATATTCAAATTCGAATTCAAGAGGACGTTTCGGTGATGCTTCCGCACTGTGATGATATGGAGTCCTCCCAACATCAGTGCTCGTGCCTAACCATCTCGGCGACCTCAGTCTTGTGCAGACGTAGCAATGACAGCATATCATGAAACTCGGTCCCCAAGACTTGTTTTCCGCCCTTGCCTCGAGACATGACCATGCTTTCACATCCCTGCCCGTAGCCTCTTCCCACACAGGCGTGGGGGTCTCTTCTCTCATCCAACAGATCCCAAGCCCTCGAATCGGGCTTCAAGAATCCATGCACCCGTCATCTCAGGGATCTTGGACTCTTCCTGCAAAAAGGAATCCAACAGTTCCAGCTCCTGCTCCAGCTCCTGCCCCAGCTCCCTCACGCCCCCGGGGAAGCTGAATATAGCAACTCCAGATGTGCAAAACACCGCGTAGGACACACTGCCTCATCGTCACCAACAAGACTGCACGATCTGATCCATATTCCGCCTCACGTCCCACTATCCAGCTCATCGGTCGTGTGCCACAACGCCCATTCCACTAGTCGGCACACGCGGCTCCATCCTCGCCTTCCAGAACCAGCAATGTGCTACTCCTGTGCACATCGTCCATCATCGCACATTGGAAACGCCATTTGCGTTTCCACCCCGGCATCGCACACCAAGCACCCATCCCCCAGAACCCAAGTCCGAAGTGCATGGACGTATCAAGTATTCCCCTCAACACACGTGTGAATCTCCCACATGAACTGGGCGTATCACGTATTCCCCTCAACACACGTGCAAATCTTCAACGTGAAATGGGCGTATCACGTATTCAGCTCAACACACGTGCGAAACCTCGCAGCTCTGGGTCTCGCACACGTGAAAATTCCATTGGACGCCAGCTCTTCACCGCTCGGGCGGGTTGCGTGGCCTAAGCGAGAGACACGGCAAGCCACAAACGCCCAGCCATTGCTGTTATGGGATGTGAGACCATCGTCATCTGTGCGCTTGTTAGAGGAAGTTCTTGAAGTAGGAGACGGAGGCCCAATTGTAGATGGATGGTGGAGCACGCAATTGATGGGATATGGCCCGTATGGGCAAGCTGGGATTGGGTTTGGTAATGGGAAGGGTGTTGTTTTTGTTTTTTGGGAGGTTAGAAGGGGAGCGTGCGAGGTCAGGATATCGTTGGGTGGTGGTGGGATTGCGTTATGGGGAAGTTGCCGGCGAGGTGGATTTGGAGGGGTAGGGGTGGGGGTTTTAGATGGGGGTTACCGTATTGCTGGGATGCGAAAGGTACCTAGGTAAGTACTCCGTAACATTCCAGGTTCTGTTGGTGGGTTAGTCAGTGGGTCAGGGATGTCTACTGTACACAGTAGGCCGAATTGATATTGTAGCTCGGGTGCAGTATCTTAGTCGTTTGAGTTGCAGGTTGTTGGTTGATCGAGCAATTCCAAAACAATGGAGACCAGCAGGTAAAACGGTTCTGGAGACTAGAGAGTATCTGCATTATACGAATAAGAATACTACGACAACTCTAGCCCTCTATAAAAGAGACCTGGGAGGTTTAGGTTCGGATGTAACAATTTTGTCAACCGCCAGGGTCGCCGGAAGTTGAAATCAGAGGACATTACCTACATTCTAATCAAAGTATATAGAACGCAACGGGATGAGGGGATATCGAACAACAATAAAGGACTCGCTCAGAAAGTTGAGCGCAATCGAATCTCAATGAACCTCTGCCTCCGCACTGGGTCGGTTCAACCCTTTCTCCGCGTCGGCCTCCACAGCCCTTGAGACGCCGCGGCATGAAAACTTCCCCGTCATTCCAAGCTTCTTCTCCGTCACCCAGATCCGGAAAACGATGAGATACCGCACGATAATGAAGATAATGACGCTGCCAACCAGGATTCCGACGATGTATCCAGCAACCACCCCAGACGAATTTTTCGTGTTATCCAGGAAACTGTAGACGTAGAATCCTTGTGTAGCGTGGGTCACGTAGGCCAGGCCGAGATACAAAGCGAGGATGACGACAACTGGTACAAGGTCGATGAAAGGCAAAGGATCGGTGCGGGGGAAGATAATCTCGAACAGTGCGTAGACGGCATTAAGAGCGTGTTGTGATGTGTTTGTCCAGGTTGAGAAGGGTGAGTCGAAGCTGCTATAGAGGAGTGCCCAGAAGACAACTGCGTTGCATTAGTCGTCTGGTTTACACCCGTGAGCCGCAGAACCTACTCGTTACAATCCACGGATAGACAACTATAGTCGAATAGAACATCCCATGCGCAATCTGCAGTACCTTCGGCCAACGAGCTAGGAGCGGTGTCCCTGTAAATGCATAGCTGCCGGAATGCAGAGCTGCGAACAGAAAGTAGAAGGCAAGGCCCCAATAAGTCAAGTTCGTGAAGTATGAGAAGGATCGCTCTGAGTTCTCTGAAAGACCATTGGCGCCATTGTAACCAAAGATAGTGAAAATCGTGGTGAAGGCATACAACGACAGAAAACCGCGGATGATAAAGAGGACCGTAGGCGAAAACAACCACGAGGTCTCATACCGGTAGGAAGTGTCGAAATTCGAGTAATTGGGCCCAAATATGTGTTTATTTGCCATGTTGACGTGGAAAATCTGTCTTCGAACGTTTCTTTGTTATGCTGTCCAGGGGTTCTGGTTGGGGATATTGATGGAATCTCGTGTCCTAGTGTCTATGAAGGTCTGCCGCCCACAGATTTATCGATGGCCTAGGACAGTGGCATGAGAGCAATAGGCAGGCGACCGGACGACGTTGTCGTCAAGGAGAGTCGACGTGGAGAGCTGAAGCAGCTGAAGGGTCATTGCCAAGAGCTGAATTGGTTATGGGTCGAGATGTGGTCTAGACCCTTGTACTGACCCGCGTATCGTTACCACTTCGTCAGCGTCTTATTAAATTCCTAACAGTGATACGGTAGACAGTCCGGCCTACGCCAGGATACTTCAACACATTTGCAGGCTTCAAGGTCATGGACGCCTCGTTCTCCCGCTGCCGCCACCAGCCTTTCGTACATGCAGCCAAGCTAACTGACGGGCATGTAAACTGCCTTGTAGCTCTACCCCCATGCTCACTCGAGATCTCTCAAAATGCACACCAGCGCTGCTTTTCAATCCGGTTTCTTGAGCCGCAGTTATACCACAGCTCACCCAAATGCAACGGACCATGGTCCCAGTTTGTCTTCAAAACTCTCGAGATAAGATCAAGATGAGAGACTCGTGCTCAAGGGCAACGGTATGTTCCTCCACAGATGTATATACATCTCAATACTTACTAAATGGTTGAATAGAAGGAGCAGAATCTTGCTCGCATCCGCGAAAACCAACGTAAGTTGGACCTCATTTATGAATGAATCTTCATTTTAGAAGGATAAACTCTGGACAAATGGTTGACAAGGTGTCCAGGACGTTCTCGAGCACGACGCAAAGAGTATGTGCAGGAACTAGAGGCGAAGATTCGACACCACGAGAAAATGGGAATCGGTGCTTCTGCAGAAATCCAAAGGTTGTAAGCCCACTTAGACCTGCCTTCACCTACTTATTCCATCAGTGCTGCACGACGAGTGCTCGAGGAAAATCGGCGACTTCGTGCCATGTTACGCACCCGAGGTGTTCCAGAAAGGGAGATAGCGGCTGCTCTGGACCAGACCTCCGCCGCGCCAGTCCTTCAGTCTATGCTGGATCGGAGACGGACACTTCCCATGACTCCTACGGAACCCGCCGACGACTCTCCTACACCTGAATTCCAACCCCAAAGAGCCGAGCTATCGCCACCTGCTATGGTACCTCAGCCTACTTTGCCGTTGACTATTCCTGAAGACCTAACTCCAAACTCGCCCTTGACGAGTGTGGATACGCCTATAAGCGAAGCAGAAACCCCTTACTTGCCGATCGAGACGACCCAAGCGGTTGATATTAAGACTGAGGCTGCCCTGGATTACAATCCACCAACGGATCAGTATTCCAGTGATAACTGGGGTTTCCCGTCGCAGCATCTTTATACTTTCGAGCCCATACCGTTCTCGTATAGCTCGTCTTGCATCAGTGCCGCGAATATCATTCGCACCGTACATGGAGACTGTGGACCGGAACTAGAAATGGATCTAGGCTGCCGAGCTGCTGGTCAAGATTGTCGTGTTGCGAACTCGCTCATCTTCAACGTCATGGAGAAATACTCAAATCAGCCGATTCGGATGTGATCCGGATACAAATTTCTTGTGCGACTACAGGTTACAATTTCAGGATCTATGTATGTGCTGCTACATGGAGTAAAGGAGTGCGGCCCGGTCATGGTCCGCTTTTTCCCGTGACATGGCTACGAGTGCTGGTCACATCAAGACGTTTCTCAGCTGGCCTTTGAGATACCTTCAATGATTTTCTGAGATACCTTTCATAATTCGCCGGAAAGAGCTGGTGGAGTATGACTGTTGACACAGAAGGTAGCGCCCGCTACATCTTTGTAGAGAAATCTACTGGTTTCGAAACATTCTTGGCCGCTCGCATCTCCATCCTGGATATTAGAGTCGCCCGCAAGTTCTCGGCGCAAATGAGAAGGATGTTCTCTAACCACCTCCATGGTCGTCGTCCTCCCCATTTGCTTCGCGCTGCGAAGGCTCGTCATTGCGGAGTATCAATGCCAATGCGACAGAAATCTTTCTCCTAAACAAAGAACCCAAGCATCGGACACCTCTATGTCACGTTCGTGATGGTGAACAAAGTAGTCCCGAATCAAAAGGTGAGTGAAAATAGCTGCCGCAGGACAAAGACGTCTCCTAACTTTGACAAAGGACCTCTGCCCGCTTCGAACGGCTCTTTTACAAGTTTGATACCCTTTGTTTATCCTTACACAATTGTTGCACTAAGGGCAAATCTGGAGTTGTTATTGTTCTCCCATTTTGGTCCCATTGTCGTCTCATTGTCCTTTTGTTGTCCTCTTAATATTGATGAGAACAAAGATAAACATGCTTCTTAGCCACAATATATGGACTTCATCTCGATAGCCATTCAGCCTCTTGTTTGTCTTTTCTTAAACTTCGCATCCCGCTCCTTCTCAAAGATTCCTCATCTTCTCGAACGACCAAACAATTCAGCGGATGCTCTGTACAACTTTGCAATTCAACACAACATCTCCCTCTTCTCACGAACAGAGTTGCCGTTAGTGCAGTATGGCACCCAAACGAAAAAACACACAAGACGAAGGGCCGTCCAAGGGGCAATCCTCGCGCAGTCCGCCAGCATCACCGGCAAACCCAGGTGCTCAAGGCAGGAAGCGACCAGCATCTCCGACTCAGGAACCTGCCGCTAAGCGCCCGAAAAAGGCTGCGAAACCGAGAGAATTCAAAGGCCGTCAATGTGCCACTATCAAGCCAAACGGAGAGCAATGCCGGTTGAAGGAGTCTGCCACCGTCAAGGGTGATCGTCCGGAAATATTCCTCTGCCGCCACCATAGACCCAAGACGTCTAATGATGAAGGAAATCAGCAGCCTCAGGATGCTCCGCAACCTCAGCAGACTGAGACGGCTAACGTAGCCCAAGATCAGCAACGTCCTGATGAGATGCAAACACAACAGCCAGCTCCTGTAACAGATAATCAGCAACCGATTACCGCAACGAACGATCAACAGGCGCCTGAAGTGCCATCCAGTCAACAGGTGCCTACCTTCCCAGTCAGTCAGGACGCGCCGGTGCCAGTGGTTGCGAATGCTGAAGAGAGCCAATCTGGTACTGGGGCTCTTCCACCGGCACCTAAGAGAAAGCGTGCGATTAAGAAGAAGCAGCCTCCGGAGCCAACATTTGCCAGAACGGAGCCGAGCACAGATTCGCTCCCAGACGACTTCAATGCTTGCCAGTACCTGCGACAGGAGCTCGATGCGAGCAAGAAGGCCGTCAGTGGCCCGGATTCCAACATGAAGGATGCCAGTGACGGGGAAAACCCGCCGGTTGGCCCTCGACGTCTGGAACCACTCAGTCTAGACGACGTCTATCTGGCTATTTCATCAGTGACGGCCGCCATAACCCGCATCCTGTCGCGGCGTCAGGGTTTCAGTTTCTTCAGAGGCGACCTCGCTGCCCCTACCGATCCGCAGAACCCGCCAGGCGCAGTTGTCCTGCCGGATCGCCCTCTCCTTTTGCCTTTTGATATGGACAACAACGGCCACGTTATGCTTGTGACAACCCAGTACGATGAGAGCGTCATCACAATCAACGTCAATGATCCAATGGCGTGGGATTGGACTCCAGCTAGACGAGAGGAGATATACGCAGTGTTACGAGAGTTCATCGACCGTGTAGGATGGCGACGGGCACATCTGCATGATAACAAGGTGTCATTCTCCTCTTATGCCAATTGGGCCATCTTCATCGATCAGATTGACCCTGCACTCACCAGTTACTGCACCATCATCAGTGCCTGGGCGATGGCTCTGGGACTGGAACAAACCCGCAGGACAGACCCGTTCAGCCAGGAGGAGTACGACGACCTCATTCGAGTCATTGAGCTTGCTCGTGCTGGGCGTGCGGACTGGCGTCTCATCTACGCCTTCCTCGTCTGTCGTCGTTTCGTGGAGCCGCACAGTGAAGTGCCTCTCATGCGACGATTTTCCCATACCGAGCCGATGCGCACTGATAAGGATCTTGAAGCTTTCCTGAAGGAGTTGGAGGCAGATGACCAGGCGTACTGGAACGGTCTCAGTGATACCGACAGGCAGATCCACTTTGAGGTGGGACTGTTGCCCAGGGTCAGGATAGATAGGAATTGGCCTCATAATACTTCCTGGATTTGCGACAGCTGGGTTGGGCCTACCCGGGAGACCGCACGGCTGGAGAATCTCTTTAACGCAGGGGTCTTTAACACGCTATACGACGATATGGAAATGTACGCCGCATATAGGAAGTTCAAGGCAAAGCAAAAAAGGAGGGAGGAAAGGGAGAAGGAAAGAAAAAAGATGGAGGAAAGGGAGGATGAGGAAAGTGAAGATGAGGACGGAACTGAAAGCGGGGACTTTGACGATGATAGTGTCGATGATGACAGTAGTGGCGATGACGGTCAAAGGACTGAATCACCCTCCGAGGAAGAAGAGGAGGAAGCTCAGCCGCCTAGGCCAACTACCGCTGGAAAAGTTCCTCGCAAAGTTCCTCGAAAGAAGCCTGCTGCTGCGCCACAAGTAAAGTCTACTGAGACCGCTGACGTTGATGGAGACACCACTGTGTCAAGAGATTCCACTTCGCCGTCCGACGTTTCTGAACCAGTGTCGAAAACTTCTTCTAGCTTGAAGAATGCTTCTCATGGCTTGAAATATCCAAAAAAGAAACCATATCCTGCACCAAATTGGGCAAACAGCGATCCATCGGGATCGGGAAGTTCTCCAGGCGGGTCAGAGGATGACGTGCTTCCATCAATCGAGGATGAAGAAGCTGTTGAGGAGGCAGATGACGCCTCCGAACAAGTCGAGTATGGGGGGATTGATGAAGACGTAAATGCCCTCTTTGAATCAGACAAGGATGGAGAAGTTGTTGAAGACAAAGATAGCCTCTTTGACTATGACGAAGAGGAAGAGATTGTTAAAGGAGAGAAAGACGAGCAAGGAGATCACGACGAAGACAACGATGAAGGCGAAATCGACGAAGGGCAGGAAAAGCCGGTCGAAGCAGCACTGGGCGAGGATCATTACAGTGACAGTGAAGACCCAGGAGAACTCGTCCAATTCCCAAGCTTGAACGACCAAACACACCAATTACTAAAACAGTTTCAAGCAACGCTTCCTTCAGGCGGAACCTATGACAATCTCGAGTCTGTCATTAATCATGTTTGGAACTTCTTGGATAACTCAGGAGAGCAATTTGGCATCAATGAGGATGACGATGACTGGTGTCTGAAATTCCGAAGGCGCTTCGAGTTCCTCCAAGCGATATGCGCCGAATATCCCTCGGCAAATCCTAAATTCTCCAAGAATCATAAGCTGGAACGCGACAGGTTTTTGAACGACGCGCAGATTGATATGGCGATTGGATCTGTTATTGGGGCCATCAACGTTTTCCAACACCAACATATGCTTGCTGCAGGCGAGACTAGGTTCACCGGCGGCTTAGGGATGGTGACGAGTGCTCCACTCAGTGAAGCTCTCCTCAAATCCGAAAAGGAATGGAACGGGCTGGGTGGGGTAGGCACCTTCGGTAGGGCTGCACACCCAAGGCGATGCTTCTTGATGCCCGTTATCCTTGACAAGCATCTTGCCGAAACCGTCAAGTTGCCTCCTAAGAATGCGGGTCATATCTGTCTGTTTGTCCTTCAAGAAGAGACGCGCGAAGTAAATGGGGAGAGTGGCAGGTTCTTCTGTGTGTACTGTCTCGACAGTGGAGCGTTTATCTCCAGAGCAAAGTGGAGTGGGCAGCCAAAGTCACAGGCAGCGTTACTCTACGGCCTCATACAGAAAGCTGCTCGGAATCTGTCCTGGACGAGGCGAAACTCGCATGCTAAAGAGGACACACAATTCCTGAAGGACTACACCGATGTCCCCGTTCTTCGGCAAGCTGATGGCACATCCTGCGGTCTCTTCACCGTCCTCAACGCCTGGATTCTCGCCTTGGGACTGACGCCTAATGCAAAACCAAAGGCCGATGCCAGGCGGGTCGCCTCGAAAATGCAACTCCTCGTCCTTTTGGCTTGGCGGGGCGCTCTGGATTGGAAGACGCTCGTCGCCTTCCTGCTTTGCCACGGCCTCGTGACGCAGACGTCGATGAGCCAGGTGCCCCTTGATCGGAGATTTGGAGCAACAATGGCTCAGGAGGGACAGGCCGAGCTGAGCAGTTATTATAGCGATGTATTCGAGCAAGATGATGCGTTTTTGCAGCTTGAGAGCTTTGAGGACGTGCCGTACGATTACAGTTGTAACGTCAATTTCCCAGGTTCGGGCGGTCTGCAGCGAGGTTACGACGATTTTGAAGAGTACACCGATTCGGACGAGGACCGATCTGGCAGCCGAACGGATTGGAGAGGAAAGCAAGGAGATGCGATGGACTGGTTGGATAGCGAGAGTTATTTGGGAGGAGCGGAAGACCAGCTGGACTGGCTTGATGAGTATTGATTGGGGTGGGTGCTGTTGTTTCTATAGACTGTAAGATATTCTGTAAGTGTTTGTTAGTCTTTTTATGATAGATGGAGCTCTCCTTTAGTAATTTGTGATACCCTTTTATAGAATTTGCATTCCTTCTGTTTTGTCTAAGGATGCTGTACTGCACAGAGTTATATTAGTCCAATCTCTTCAATATCTTGGTTACATCCCTTTATACTAAACAAGTCAATTAGACTTAAGATGGTTGCAGGTTAGAGCGACAGTTTCCGTGATCTGATTGGGAACCTAGCCCAATATCTCTCTATCAAGCGGAGCCGGCAATTCTCGGCCGGGTAAGTCTCGCAAGTCCAGCTCCGCATGGATTACATGACACTTACCAGCACAAATGAGGAACAACAGAATGACACATGCTACCGACCACCAAACAGCCCTCCAAACGGGCTCCCTCCAGACCCTCCCGCACGGCCTCCTCTCCTCGCCTCGTTCAATAACCACTCTCTAAGGAACTCTTTATTCTTCATCTGCTCTGGTCTTACGAGCTTGGTCTCCATCTGGGGCTCTTGCCGACTAAACGCTAGTAGCGTTGGCAGAGAGGTAATCTATACCAAAGGTCAGCATCAACGCTGCGCGTCAACCCTCCATTTTCACACCGCAATACCCCTTCCCAGCATCCCACCATCTTCTAAGACACCAAAGAATCCAATTCAAGAAAAATCTCACATACCATGAACTTAACCCCCAAATCCCCAATCAACACCGAATCCATCTCCACTTCCGCGTACCCCAATCCCCCCTCCTTCTCGCCCACCCTCTCCTCCTCAATCAAACTCCGAACGAGGGGTTTCACAGCCCGACACGTGGAGCACCATGACGCAGTCCACAAGGTGATCAAGGGGCGATTGTCGGTGGCGCTGAGAAAGGTTAGGGTGTGCAATTCATCTGGGGTGCGCACGTTGGAGAAGATGCGGTTCTGGGCGGACTGGGTTGAAGACGAGGTGAATGGTCTGTAGGCTCGAGGGAAATGCAGGGGAAGACGGAGGGTGCGGGGGAGTAGTGATGGGTGCCGTAGTATCATGATTTTTTTTTAACGGAATATCAAAGATGGATATTTCAAGGTTGGATAATATCATTGACGGCACGTGTTATTCATTCGATGTACGTGAAAGGGAAGTCACGATGCATATGCTCGACGTCATGTTGTGCCAAGGTGCCAAAGATGCCAACGCTTAATAAGCATCCGCGAAGATCTTCGGTTTCCTTTGCTGGTTCCTGAGCGCTTGGCTGACAGCTTACTCGGACGTCAGCGAAAGCAATTGAGGAAATCTCGACTTTCGAAAACCGATGTTGAAAGAGAAGGACGCATAAATGGATCCGTCTACGCGGATTTTGTACGAGCGGCTGCACTTGCAGAGCTTGCAGAGTTTGCAGCTCGTTTCCCATGTCCACGATGATTGAAGAGAAGGGAACTCAGGAAGCAGCACAGCTGAAAAGACTGGATACAAAGAGAGTCATCTCAGGTACTATGGCGAAGAGAACGTCATAACGGCGGCGAAAGAGAAGGATCGTTTTTGATGAACGGCCTGGGGGGCATGCACCTGAGAGACAGAAGGGGAAGTGAGAGTGTCGCCACGGACGATGTCACTGCAAATCCGCCTCCCTGGGTGCCGGCTCTACTAGGTCTCCCGAGTTCTCGTCAGTTGGAGATAACCCCCAGGGCTGGGCTGGCCTATTCCCTCGTAATTCGCGCCTAAGACGTTGTCCCTAGGCGTTTTCTTCAGCAGTTATGCACGTGTCGGGCGACATGCTTCTGTGGACGAGGTTATGGAAAGCGAGCACCAGCACAGTATTTTATTATTGGCATTTGGCCCAAGACTGCTAGGCCGGCCCTGGCAATGGAAGCTTATCGGAGCGAGTGTAGGACGTCGCCCTATAAGGTGTGTGGGAAGGGGTTGGTGCATGGTGTTGAACCGCACCCCTGCCCCACGTGGGCTCTTCTCCACACCTTATACGCAGAGATGGTCCTGCACCCAAGACATCCCCAACGACCTCAAGCTCAGCACTCGGCGTCACCGGCACCTCTTGTTTCGCTCCTGAGAAAATGAGGGTGTTCCCCTTCTTTCCGAGAAGAGAAAATTGGCAGCTTCGAGTTCAGTGGTTGCAGTGCCTCGACGGGCCCGTGTCGAGCCCGTGGCTGATGGTCATGTATTCACCACCGAACGCCTGCGACTCTCCGTATTCCAGCGAATGGCAGCTCAGCGTTTCGCAACGTGCTATCCGTCGTGGGTGGCCATGCCTAGGACGCGGACCGTGAGCCAACATACGGGCAATGTCCGATAGATCCTCTGCTTCGAACGGCACGTATTTAATATCGCCCTCTGAACCTCTTCCCTGCCCGTCCACGACCTTCACCCTCCAACACCTCAGCACCCGGTGTTGTATCCAACCACTCTCGACTGGTTGGACTAGGTCCACTTCTCGTTCCCTTTCACCACAAACAGCCTTCTGGCCACGGTCACGAACCCTTTGCCAAAATGGCTGTCCTCTCGCAATACAACTACGTCTTCGCCATTGGCACCTTCTTCGCTTTGCTCGATGCATACAACAACGGTGCCAGTATGTGATTAGCAGACCCTTTGCCCTTTTGCTTTCCCTGGGATACAGTATACTGACGCCGAAGCTAGACGATGTCGCCAACGCCTGGGCTACCAGTGTCTCATCACGGTCCATCTCTTACTTGGCAGCCATGGTCTTGTCCGCTATATTCGAGACGGTCGGCGCCGTCGCTGTCGGTGCGCGAACTGCTGAGACCATAAAGAACGGCATCATCCCGCCGACGGTTTTCAAGGGCGACGCTGGTGTCCAGATGCTTGCTTTCACCTGCGCTCTTGCTGCTGCTTCCTCGTGGGTCATGTGGTGCACCCGTCACTCCGCTCACGTCTCCTCGACATACTCCCTCGTGTCTGCCATTGCCGGTGTTGGTGTCGCAGTTGCCGGAGCCGAAAACGTCCAGTGGGGCTGGAATGGCGGGTAAGTCGTTTTCTCTCCTGATCCCACACTGTTACATTTGTACTAACTCGATGACCAGAAAGGGACTTGGTGCCATCTTCGCCGGCTTGGTCATGGCTCCCTTCATCTCTGGCGGCTTCGCCGCAACCATCTTCATGATGATCAAGCTCATCGTCCATGTGCGGAAGCAACCTGCGAGATGGGCCGTCTTCACCTCGCCCTTCTTCTTCCTCGTCGCCGGCACCATTTGCACGCTGTCCATTGTGTACAAGGGCTCCCCGAAACTGAACCTTAACAAGAAACCGGGCTGGTGGATCGCAGCCGTCTCCGTCGGTACCGGCGGCGCCTTGTGCCTCCTCTCGGCCCTCTTCTTCGTTCCCTACGTCTATTGCCGCGTCCTCCGGCGCGACCAAACTCTCAAGTGGTACCACATCTTCCTCGGCCCCTCGCTGTTCACCCGCCAAGTCCAAGAAGGCGACCGTGCAAAGGTCCCCAACTATGAGGTTGTCCAGAAAGATGAGTCTTCAGCCTCGTCCGTCTCTTCCGGCAGCTTCACCGACGGTGAGATCAAGCCAGCCGCCGACAATGATGAAAAGAATGCCGTTCAAGCGGAATCCCGCCAGAAGACACAAAAGGAACTCATCGCCGAGGGAGAAGCCAGGCACCACGCAAACCTCCGCAAGAAACGCGGTCCCATGGGCTGGGCCATGCGCACTCTCCACGAGAACCCCATGGGCCCCGGCCAAATCTACGAATTGCACAACATCAAGACCCTCGCCAAGCGCATCCCCGCCATGGTTGTGGTAGCCCTTCTCTACGGCCTCTACTACGATATCCACGCCGCTCAGACGGGCATCGAGGGCACGCCCGATGGCAAGCGTATGGAGCGTGTGTATGCGGCCGCTAAGAAGTACCCCAACGAAGTCGAGCACACCTACTCGTTCGTTCAGATCATCACCGCTTGCACTGCCTCGTTCGCGCACGGCGCCAACGACATCGGTAACTCGGTCGGACCCTGGGCCGTCATCTACTCTGCCTGGCACACCGGCAACGCGGCGGCCAGCAAGGCTCCCGTCCCGCTTTGGCAGCTGGGTGTGCTCGCCGCGACCATCTCGGTGGGCCTCATCACGTACGGATATAACATCATGAAGGGTAAGCACCTCTTTCCATACCTCTAGCAGGATTCCAGCTAACTCTCTCGTTATAGTCATGGGCAACAAAATCACCTACCACTCGCCCTCGCGCGGATCCTCCATGGAAATGGGCGCCGCCATCACCGTCCTCGTCTTCTCGCAGTACAAGCTGCCCGTCTCCACCTCCATGTGCATCACGGGTGCCACCGTCGGCGTCGGCCTCTGCAACGGCACCTACCGCGCCGTGAACTGGCAGCGGGTCGGCCTCCTGATGTTCAGCTGGATCATGACCATTCCTGTCGCCGGCACCCTCGGCGGTGTGTTGATGGGTTTGATCCTCAATGCGCCGCACTTTAAGAGTTAGATAGAGAGACGGTGGTCAGGAGAGAGGGGGAAATGGCGTTCGGGGGCAGTCGTCCTTCTTTCAAGTTTGATATACTAATCGTTTGTTGCCATCCTATGGCATGCCAGCGTCTGGTTTGGGTCGCTGGCGTTTGAAAGATTCCCTCTTTTCTTTTTTTTTCTTATAGAGTTGTGTACATATACCACATACCGCATTGGCGAGCATGCAACGGCAAAAATCATCTGAATTTGGAATACACTGGCATCTTTCGCTTGATTTTCACATTGCCCGAGTGCTAAACTCGTTGTGGAGAGGAATGCCCCGTTATGTCTGAGTTATCAAGCGTTCGACCTGTATGCTGTCGTGAGATGGAGAGGAGAACGGAGGGGGCTGGCGATCTTCATGGTTCAATGTCAATCACAGACAAACGTCACCGACACACGCACCACAATCATTTCATAACTAATTCTCATTTCTTCATCCACGAAGCTTCGCTACCTAACCCACATCTCTATCTATCCATGCAGGGTTATTCCCCAGAACGGCGCTGTGCACAGCGTCGCCGGAAGACAGAGAGCGGAAAAAAGGAAAAGCGTCTTCGGGAGAACATGTTTGGGGGTATATGACACAGGGGCCGAGGCTAACACCAAAGCCTCGAGAAGTATGCAACGCAAAAGCGTGACCGCAAGTCCGCAATTGGGGGGCTCGCATTGAACTCCCATGCCGCCAATGATAACGCCGAGTCATGGCCTAAGGGTGCCTGATGACCGTACAGAGGGAGGCCGTAAGGGAGAGGAGCTGAATAACCGCCCGCACTCCTAATACCGGCGTCCCGAGTCGTTCATCCGGCTCGGACTCACATATGCCGACTTCCTCCTCCCACGTACCACAGGTCCATCATCGTCTCCGTCGCAGTCCCGAATATTGAGACGGGGACGTTTTTCCTCACGGACTCCGTCGTAATCTTCTTCGTCACGGACGATAGGACGCCTCTTGTTGTTCCGCCCGTTACCGTTCCTACCATTCGCGTAGATGAGATTGGGAGTGCCCCTTCCGGAAGATCCTCCCAATGCCGGAGTAGTAAGACTGCTATCCGTCAACGAAGTGGGAGAGCCGGTATCAGATTCCTCTGTAGACGCGGAATCGCCATTGGAATAGTACCTGTCCAGACGCGCAAGGTGACCATTTAGTCGGCTGGCTTGCTTGTTGCGGTAAACCGTCCTGTCCGGCAAATCCATCTTTCTCCCCTTCCGCGCTTGTTCATCCCTCTCCATCTCTTCCTCAATCTCCCTCTGCTCCTGATCTCTCGCCTGGACCCACTGCTCATGCTGCTCCTTATACGCCGTCTCCAATCCCTGCATCCACTCCCTCCGCTCCTCATTCTCCTCAGCGGCCTCCTTGCACGGCGGGCACACGATGTAGAACGCCCCGGCCATAGGCGGCTCACCCAGGACCTCCAACTCCGGCAAATTCTCACCAATGAGCTCCGCATTATCCCAATCGAGACAATCCTCGCAGAACCCGTTCGCGCACCATCGGCAGCGGTAAATCAAGCCACCCGCATCAGCAGTTCTCTTGCCGCAGTCCACACACTGGTGCTGTGGGCAGACGAAGCCTCCAAAGTTCTTGGTCTTGACTTGGAAATCGGGCTCCAGGCAGTTGAAATGGTAAGAACGAGGGCAGCCTCTGCATTGGATCAGGTCGCCGTACTCGAAGCAGGCATGACAATGAGTCTGGTGAGCGATGTCACGGCGTTTCTCGCGCTTGGCTTCAGCGAGACGAGGGTCCTTGCCGGCGAGGGTGGGGACGGCTTCCCAGTCGGCACAGTTGAGGGACTCTTTGCTGATCGCGAAACCATCGACCATGACGGTGACGTTCTTGCCCTTGCGGCGGTCCTCGCGGCTAATGGTGGGTGGGAGAATATTGGCGGCGGGACTGTCGGTATTGAGTGCGCGATGATGACGTTTACCATCGAAAACGGCACATTCGACACGCTCCATGGTAGCTAACCACTTCTCCTCATCGGCCTCCGAGGTAACGATATCAGAGGGCTTGTCACGGCACTTCCGGAGCATGGTGTCAAGATCCCAGGAAAGCATCTCCGTGACGTTGATGTCTGGATGAGACAGGGTCTGCGCACCTCGACGCACCAAGGACTTGAGCTGCGTAGTACCCATTTGCGGCATATCCTCCGTTGTGGAAGGGCGGCCCTTAGCCTTTGCACCCTCAGTGTGTATGTTGCGCATAGACTCTGTGATCTTGGCTGAAAGGTAGAGCTTCTTGCGAATCCGACCCATCATCTGCTCCTCTACCGTACCTTGCGTGCAAAGCTTATAGATGGTGACCTTCTTTGTCTGACCGATGCGGTGAGCGCGCGCCTCAGCTTGCAAAGTGATCTGAGGGTTCCAGTCTTCGTCAAGGAAGATCACGTCTTCGGCACTTGTCAAGTTGATTCCCAAGCCGCCGGCACGGGTAGACAACAGCATGACCTTATAATCCGACTTGGGGTCATTGAACATGCGAATACCAAGATTGCGGCGTGCTCGAGAAGTGTCGCCGTCGAGACGCAGGTATTTGAAATCACGTCCATGGTCCCCAAGGAGTACAAGGAGATCCTCCACACAGGCGAGTGTCTGCTTGAAGCCAGAGAAAATAAGGACCTTCTTCTTTTCTTCAAAGATTTGATGCTTCAACAGCTTCTCCAAGAGAATGAACTTCCCAGATGCGCGGATGACATGATCTCCCAAGTAGTAGGGGTCTGGGCACGCTCCCTTGATTAGGTAGGGATGCGAGCAGCACTTTCGGAGTTGCATGACGAGGTTCATCAGTTTCTGCCAGTCGTTGCGACTGCCCGAGCCCGCCTCCGACTTCTCCTTTTCGATGACCTGCTTCATAATCTCGGCCGTTTCCTGCCACTCCTCTGTCTTTTCGCCTTCGGGTTTCCTCTCAAGCTCTTCCACTTTCGCCCACATCTCGTCCTCTTCCTTCTCTTTCTGCAAAACGTCCTTCTCTTTGACCTGAACGTTCGCGAAGAGATCTTCGAGGATGGCCTCATCAACACGCGTAAGGAGTCTAGTGTACCAGAATCGTTGCATGGGTGTCAGCGGAACGTAGAGCAGCACCTCTTCCTTCGGAGGGAGATTAAGATCCACACCGGGACTATCCTTCATGCGGCGCAACATGATAAGCTCGAGAAGGCGACGAGCGTCGTCCAACGTTTGCTTGTTGACCTGTCCCCTGCCGAGATCGAATGATTGTTTGAAAAGGTCGGCAGTGCTCGCTGTGAAAACATCCGGGTAAAGCCAAGCAAGCAAGGCCCACATCTCGACAAGATTGTTCTGTAGCGGCGTTCCTGTCAAGATGAGACGGTACTCTGCGCTCACTGACTTCAGCGCAGAGGATATGTTGGTGATGTTGTTCTTGATTCGGTGGCCCTCATCAAGGACAATGTAGCGCCACACAAATGAATGCTTGAACCAAGTCTGCTCAGCCAAAAATGCCTCATAAGTGGTAACGACGAGCTTGTACGACTGGCTTCCCTGTTGCTCAGTGGGCAATTTGGGCACGCTGAGACCAGCCTTTCGAGATGCTTTCCGGTCCATTGCCTGAAGTGTCTCATTCCCGTACTTGTCCTCCATTCCTTGAGCCACCCTCTTGAGGTGCTCCCGTTCCTTGGCCGTGCCATGAAACCGGAGGACCTTCAAACCAGGTACCCATTTCTTCGCTTCGCCAACCCAAGAGTTCAAGACACTCAACGGGCAGACCACGAGGTATGGACGGAGCTCCTCAGAATGTACGCCAGTTTCCTGAACTTTTTCTTCGAGATACTGGAAGAGAGAGAGGGTTTGTAATGTCTTTCCCAGACCCATCTCATCTCCAAGGATGCCAGAAAACCCATTGTTGTGGAGGTAGACAAGAAACGACAGCCCAGATAGTTGGTATGGCTTCATGGTAGCGGTCACTCCCCTCGGCTGCTCTTTAAGCTCTTCATACTCGACAATTGGACCCTTGGCCACAAGCTTGGAAACGTAGTTGTTGCGAGGAAGAAGCGGCAGGAAGTAGTCCTTATGCGCAACGAGGAAGTTATTCGCTTTAGCCTTCGTCTGAGCAGCGATATCATCGCGCAATCGTTGACGTGCCGTGTCAAGCTTAGGACGAGGCGGGGCCTTCATCTTCGGGGGTGTTAAAGCAAGCTCGTCGTGCAAGGTGTCAGATTCCAATATGTTAGACTTCCTGTTGCGTGCGCTCCGCCTTGGTGCATCGCCACGCCGGTCGTTCCTTCGTGGCTCCATCTTCAGTTCCTCTCCGCCTTGACCTAGCATTGTTTGAGACCGTCGAGGGGCCCTCTTGGTCTCCTGCGTTGATGAGTGGAGCTCGTCTTCACTGTCGTCAATGGGGGCGGGGACTGATTTCGTGGGGCTCGTGAAAGCGGTGGAGGTAGAACGAGGCTCGGAGAGCTCAAGCTCAGAATCTGTGGTGAAAGACCGCAAGCGGCTCAGTTCCGGTTTGCTAGCCCCACCTGCAGCTGGAGAAGCTTGTTCATGTGAGACAATCGCAGATATGCGCCGAGCTTTGGTAACCGAAGTGGCCGAGCTGCGTGTTCCAAAACTTTGCAGTAAGTCGCGGTATGTCGCCGGGCGGTGTTTCGGTGTAACAGGCTGCGAAACCTGCGCTGCGGAAGGGCTACCGGTGAACTCCATGGCGAAGTTTCCGTGCAGCGATTGCACCGGAAGATGGGATAAAGAGGAGGTGTGCGAGATGGAGGGGAGTAAGGGGGGCGGTGAATTTAAGAGGTCGACGGACGCGATGGCATACGACATGAGTGAATGAGTCGGGAAGGGTTCGCGTGGGTGAACGTGAATGGTGAACGACATATGTTCACGGCTCGAGGTGAGCATCCATGGAGATGAGGGATGAAAGGAATTGAGTTAACTCCCCCTGACCCGACGGGGAGAGGCAACAATGCGGACGGTGAAGTGAGTGAACTGAGTGAACGTCCATGGTTTCATTCTCGGAGTGTCGGCGCCATAGGGCTGAGACGCGAAACGCGGATCCTGGTCATGGCGCGGCAAACTAAAATAGTTTAGCGGCCTTGCCGAAACCACGACTTCCCAAAACCTTCTGAGATTCAACCTCACCGCTTCTGTCACATACGCGGCCATGGCGGCCCAGATAACGACACCGTTCATCCCCATATTCCCACGCAGGTCCGACGGGAAGGAAACGATCAACCAGAGGGGAATCACAATCAAGAACCGCCCCAGTGCACAGCAACTCGACAAGACGCCGAACGCGCAGGGCCAATCCGATTATTACCGTCCAATCGAGTACGATGAGCCCAAACACGTGGACTGGAGGAAGAAGCTCGGTGGTATGCTTCTGCGAGAAATAGGGGGGAAGCAGTATGAGGATAAATGGCAGCAATGTCTTCTGTGGGACTTGCCGAACGGATATTGTCTCTACGAACACATCAAGTCAAAAGCAGAGGGGCAGACGAAACCCAGGAACCATTCAGGAGGCGGACATGACCGGCAAGACGCGTATCTATATGGCCATCCCAAGGGGCCCAAGAAGCGGTTCAGGAGCCCTGTCGAGTTCTTTCCCCATCTACTTTGGCTTTCTACGGACGAGACGAACGATCCTGAGAATTGCACATGCAAGCTCTGCTCGCCACTGCAGTTGGAGGAGCCCGAGAAGCCTACGGCTACTGCTCAACAATCGGCTCGCCATCCCATAGTTCAGATACCCGCCCGACGGCCAAGCGAAAACGCGCCTTCTGCGAGTCCTGCGCCCAAACCCGCTGCGCCACCTGCTGCCCCTGCTCCAGGAGAGCTACCTCAGCCTAGGTGCCTGGATCAACAAGTAGATGGGCAGTATGGTAAATTCCTCCTTCGTGTGGGTGAGCTCGCCTGGTACGTGAGGGATCCTGGAGCATGGGGACTAGGACTTGTCACACGGCGGTGGACCTCGAAAGAGTCTTCTAGTGGCGCACCCCAGGCTGTATACATGATTATGCCCCTGTCCTACCCGGGCGCGAATCAGGTCACGACCATTGTTTCGGGAATCGACAACCTAAAGCCATGGCTCGCCTGGTCTCCACCCCTTTGCACATACCCATGGTTACGAGACAACCCGGGCCTGCGATACCAACAAGTCGACTGGCACGCCTTGATGCGGTCCGACACGTCGGGCCAGGGCATAGCCGAAGTCGACGCTTCCATCCTCGCAGCCAAGTACGTGGACAGCACATATACGCTTTTCGAGCGCCTCAAGACCACGACCACGGCAACGGGCCATCAGGAACGCCACTACAACGGCATCTACCTCGGCGCCGAAAAGATCTGGAACGGCGAGCCCGTGCGCGTCCATATCGGCACGGGAAACACCATCATGGTCATCACGTCCATCGTCGAGCGCATCGCAAACGCATCCAATTCGAACCAAAATAATGCTACTCCCGCTGTCCAAGTGCAAGTCACAGGAGACTTGTACGATTACTCTCTCCTCCCCGTGCCGGACCCCCAATCCCCACCCACCCCTCCCGCAAACCCCTCCCTCCCCCTCCGCATGCGTGAAGACATGCGCTGGTGCAACCAAACCCTCGTGCCGCAGACGCGCTCGCTCGCCTACTGGAAGCTCGCGCACGCCCAAGTCCGCATCGACATCTCGGACATCAAGGGCCGGTGGTATGAGACGAGTCTGTACTATGTCGAGGAGTTCCACAAGAGTGTCCGGGATAAGCATGGTGGGATCGGGAGTTGGCTCAATGCGCGGGGCGATTGCTACAAGTATGCGGATGGGAAGAGAGGGCCTTTGGAGAGGGTGGAGGAGAGGTTGGCGGCGTTTGGGGTCGCGGTGCCGGGGGGGACGGGGTTGGTCGAGGGGGTCGAGGTGCCTCAGGGACTGCAGCAGCAGCAGCAGCAGCAGCAGCAGCAGCAACAACAACAACAACAGCAGCAATCTGGCGTGGGCGCGGAATCACAATCCCATTCGGAGACGACGCCACAGCAGCAGCAGAACGCGGACATGGGAAATGCTGGTGGTGTAAGCGGCGGGGAGCCTGGCTTCGCGCTCGACGACTTCATGAACCTGGAGGGCATGGGGGATGATGGCATGCAGGTACATTTCGACAACGACTTTACGGCGTTTGGGCAGGGAAATGGAGGTGGTTGGAACCAGTAGGATGGGTTCTTCTGTTTGTGAAGTCTGCATTCCAAGGCGTTTGTGCAGGATGAATGTTGATGGGGGTTATTCATGTGATTTAGCGTAATCGGGGTTTCGCTCGCAATTTTTAGGCGCGGTCGTTATATATACCCGATGTTGAGTCTCGTTATTATACTTCAAAGTTGTGCTTCCTGTCGTATTCCTTCCTTGGTCATGGTACGAGCAAAGTCAGGACAGCGAAGTTTGCAGGCCCGGATTGTGTGTAGGCGGAGGTCGGCAATGGCAGGTTTGGTTAAGCTTCAATGCGGAGTTAATGTGGTGATGCGATTGTTTGACTACCATGTAGTAGATTGCAACCCAGACGTGGCGGCATTCCAAAACCTCCATAAGCCGCACAAGTGTTTACAAGTAAGTCCTTGGAAGTGACTAGGCATAATTATTTTTCGAGCCATCGAATTGGCAGATGATGGTCCACAACTAGCCAAAGAGGGCATCTGTGCTCCGTCGCCGATGCGCAAAGCTACGCTAGCTAAAATAATAGTATGTACAGCTTAGAGTACACTGCAGAATCTAAAATGCAGTTTCTACTACAAGTAGTGACACAAGGCATCGCATCAAGATGGCTTTTTTCCCTTCGAGAAGCATTGATACTCAGTTCATCTATATCTGAACCGACGACTACGAGGCAGTGTGTTGCTCCTACTACTAGAACCGGCGGCTCGGAAGATGATGTTTCACATACTCTAACGTACCTCACGGGCGAGTCGGTCACACAGGCGAGTCGGTCACTATGCCAAGACCCCACCAGAATGTAAACTCCTCAGGAGAGTATAAAACAATTATGAATAATTTTTAAGAGTTGTAGTAAGCCAATCTCTTTAAAATCTATTTATACTTCTTTCTTACATGTATGTGAATTATGCCCAGTCTCACCGCAGCGTGTACAATGTCATTGTGTAGGCTTACCTTCATCAGCACGCACCTTCTTCTTCACCTTCTTTCCATCATCACACACTGCAGACTCGCTTAGGGTAGCTAACCGTAGACCCTCTCCAGCTGTTAAGATCCCTTCACGCTGTACTCGTTTTCTCTTGTGTGATTTACACCATGTAGCAGCTTCATTAGCAGCTTGAAGCTCACCGTTGCGCTTGGTCATCAATACCAGAGAATGCGCTATCAGCTCAGCACCTTTTGCAAGTTTTTCGACT